GAACACAACAAAAATAACAAGAAATATGTACATTTCTAACGCAATGAAATGGCTGGCAGAATTTTTTCACAAGACTTTATACATGCTTGAGAATATAATCCTTTATTCTTTTTTTAAATGTATTTGCAGATCTTGATTTAGTTGCTATATCAAGAATTTGTGGATGCATACTTAAAAGTTGTGTCAATTGCTGCTTCAATGTTTGTTCCCCATAATTAGTACGTATTTGGCCTCTATCATATTCCACACGTACTGACATCATCACAACCCCTTCTCAAGAAGCAGACGAACTTACGCTCCGGATACCGAAATACCAATGGCTGCGGAGTGGCAGTAAGATGATACGGTCAAATGGAGCCGATTAAGCCACCCCAAAAGTGAGACGGCGCGGCACTCGTCCTCTTGGTGCGTTTACCATAGCCGGCGAAACCGATCGCGCAAAGAAAAGAGCGCAGGATCGCGACGCATCCACTGTCCGTGATTGGTATATATATACAGGGTGTCACAAAAGAAACTTTACAGGGTTGTTTTTACCGCAAAAATAAACTGGGCATCGCCGAACGCTCATTCTCCGCCCAAAGGTAGAGCTAGAGGTCACAACCAGAGGCCAAAGTTTCAGCACGAGCCGATACCTGATTCAAAAGTTATAAGCGATTTGCTGAAAAGTTCAATGGGAAAATGGCGGCCGACGGACTATTTGAATACATGGGGCTCTATGAGTACCAAAAACCGAAAACGGGCAAAAATGGGCTCCATTTTCCCATTGAAATTGTCAGAAAATCACCTATAACTTTTTAATTAAGGTATTGGATAGGGATGAAACTTTGGCATCTGGTTGCGACCTCTAGCGCTACCTTCGGGCGGAAAATGAGCGTTCAGCGATGCCTATAGTTCATTTTCGCGGAAAAAAAAAAATACCCTGTACATTTTTTTTTTTTTGTGACACCCTGTATATAGGCATTTTTCACAGGAGCGCCGCCATCTTGAATTGTCGTCACTTCCAGTATGGGCGACGAAAAAATAGTAAAACGTTTCAACCTGTAACTAGTAAAAAAATTGAGGGGAGCCAAAACGAAAATATGTGACGGTTAGGCTTATATCCTAAATGTCTTCTATTGGCGTGGTGACGGCAAAGTAATGTTTTCGCCCATACTGGAAGTGACGACAATTCAAGATGGCGGCGCCCTTGCGGAAAAGGTCTATAGCCAGTGACGGCAAACGCCCAAAGACGACGCTGTCTTGGCGCTACCTGACTGCGGCCGGACTGGATCCGAAGCGGAGCGTCTAACTTGCACCGTTCGGTTTCATGAGGACGACGGCAGTGAGCCGACGACATTTCCTGGCCACGGTTCTGCGACTGCTCTGGCTGGACGTGTTCCGGTGCGGCGTCTGTGTCATCGCCTACTTCGTCTGCCTCTTCATCAGGGTCCCCGTCATGGAGTGAGTGGAGAAAGCCTCCTCCTTTACGTAAGACAGACCAGTGCGTCGACGGAGTCCATCTCAAGTGACCGTTCCTGTCGATCGGATAGACAGATTTTATTACCTTGTTTGGGTATACGCCGCTGCTGAAGCAGCGATGCACCGGGAAACTCTTAAACCGTGGTCACTTCACTACAATGCATCGTATAAAAGAAAACGTGCAGATACTATCTCAAGTGTCTCTCTTACTTCTATGACGGTTCTGTCATGGTGTTAACAAAAAAAAAAAACAAAAAAAAAACGAAAAAATCTTGGCACCAACCTTTGAAGCATAGATATGTATATGGCAAACTTGCTTCGAATATGGCTGAAGCATGCCCGCGGGGAATTCTGCTATCATATATCGGCAGCGGACACCGTGTTTTTGTATAATGCATGAGCGGTTCGAAGTTATTCTTTTCTCCGAAACAACGAACTACCGCTAATGAGTGTCTTTTGGCGTTTGTTTGCTTCCCAGGTGGTTAATTGAGAGCTCCAACAACTGGGACATGGGCATCTCCTCTCTGTTCTTCGTGGCCACAGTCGTGGCAGAGCTTTTTTTCTCCTGTTACCAGATGGATCTGGTCTGTGGTCTGGGATGTCGTGTGAGAGCCACCTTTCAAGCGGCCATCTTCAACAAGGTTGGGAACTTCGCCTCTGCGTTACACGTACAGATGCGCATTACTGCCAACTCTAAAGTTAACCGACTTAAACATTTTCTGTGCAAAGGGGCCGAATTGCTTGATCTATTTAAATATCTGTTTGCTGTTATAAGTACTTCTTTCCTCGTGTTCTTGGTAACTCTAGATACATCTGACAATCTAGCGTTATACAAAAGACATACTATAAACTAGAGACGAAAGATAGAATGCAAACTTATTAAGCCGCATTACTTCAATAACCTCTCTATGCGTAAGCTGATATCTGTTTTGAGCAGAACACAAAATATGCTTTAATTCTGAGCCAACCGCTCCTTGCGCGGTTTAGAGCTCGCCGATCCTCGCCGCAGAAGAGAGAAACCAATGGGAGGTGGTGGAGATAGTGACGTTGCGACGCCATGGCAACGCTCAAGCCGTTCCTCCGCGCGTTTTTCACGTTCCGAAGGACGTGGCGTTGGGCACGTTAAGTCCGTGCTCCGGAGCGCGAGAGTTTGGCGCTCCTTTCACGAAACGGACAGGAGTGCCACCTAAGACTGACACTCGAGCGCGCTCTTCGTGCACCGAGAATATCTCGGAGAGCGAGTGACTTCTTCGCGCTCCGTGACGTCACGTAAACAAACAAGATGGCTGCGCTTCTGTTGAGACCGTCGAGACGAAAGGCGTAGCCGGACCGCAGCCCCTCTTCAGTTGATTAGTGCTTGATCCAACAGGTGAAAACGATTTGATTTGAAAGCCAAGACAGCGATTAGCGTTCCGAAAGAGGTTTGTTCGTGCATCTCGCCCGAAAAAGAAATTCATCTAGCAGACGGTAGCGTGCCGACAGCACATCGACAGAAAAGTTGTCGAGCTGGAGACCATTCGGACCACTCTTTCCCTTTTATGATGCTTAGTCCATCAAATAAAGATAGTTTGATTTGAAAGCCGAAAGGTCAGTGAGCGTTGAGGAAAAGGTTTGTTCGTGAGTCTTGGCTGAAAACGAATTCATATATCGAACAAGCGTGCCGATAGCTCGGCGACAGAAACGTTGTGACGAAAACACAGTCAGACCGGTGCCCTGCTCAGAATGCTGAGCCCAGCCACAGAGAAATAAAGATACTTCGATTGGAAAGCCGAAACACCAGTTAGCGTTGCGGGAAAGGTTTGTTCATGCCTACCGCCTAAAAACGAATTGACGTGCTATCGAACGACGGTGTGCCGGTATCGGCGCAGCTTCCGTCCCGCTGCGAGACGGAACCGACGGAACCAGAGAATCTCTGGCAAATTTGAGGGTTTCCTGCGTCGACGAGCGGGTTCAAGAATGTTGCCTTTAATTTAAATCGGAACAGCATGCATGGCAAATAAATAGATCGACCAAGGTAACCTTCCACATATGTGCACGAAGCGAGTCTTCAAACCTTTCAGGAATATTAAAACGTTCGTAAAAACTTCATAACGTCGCCGTCTCTTTTGCGTTAGGCTCTGCCGCTCCGCACAGGCCTAATTATTCATCTTCGAAATATTTTCGGCTTCTGCCACCCGTATCCACGGTCTGAAGGAGCTCGTGTGGCCCGTCGATAGTTTCTGGCCGTGTTCCAAAACTTGCTCGACCTACTCTAGGGTAAAGGGGGTTATCTAAAACCTATCCGCGTCCAGCGTTTCCCCGTTTTTGTTGTCACGTGACATAATCCGCCAGAGGGTGGGTGTATCTCAAAACGTCCCATTCACGTTTGAACCTTGCGCATTTCGTCCTATTTTAACTTGGTCCGCCTCGTTTGAACCTTCTCATATGATCCGAATCAGGTTTTTCCCAACTGGGCCCATTCTCATTTTGCCCGTTATCTGAAAACGGACCATTCGCATTTGAACCTTGCGCATTTAGTCCTATTCTCACTTGGTCCGCCTCGGTGGAACATTCTCACAAGATCCGAATCGTTTTTTTTTTTCGCAACTGGATCCATTTTTATATTGCCCGTTCGCGCAACGACCGAATGGGACTAGCTTGGCAGGCTTCTGTCGTCATTATGCCTTAACACACGAAGTGCGTTAAGAGCAGACAAACTTGCAGGTCGTATAGACGGTTTACACACACTCCAGACTACAGCTACGAGGTAGAGGGGCTTAGAGCAATAAACTGGTGTCCCGTTCACCATGCAAAAGTGACCCCGACTTGGCTGCCGCCATGTTGTTCAATTTTGACCACTAGACACGTGACTGTACAAAATCCTGAGCCGTTTACACAAAAGTGAGCCAAGATTTGTATTGCGATCGCTGTAAAAGAAAACAAGATAAACTATTTTTTTTTAATACTTTTGCCCCAGAGATCCGTGTCTAGCTCCGATAAAATTCCAAAATACAGCATCGAGGCTCACGGCATCTAGCGGAGGCATGGCAAGTCTGCCCGAGTTTTTGTCGTAAAAGCACTTTTGGGACTTAAAACCAGCCAACGAAACATAACTTATCTCGTCGGTATACTGCTATTAAAGGCCAATAGGAAGTTATTTGAGCGCATTACTTCGTTAAAATTATAGGCATAAAACTATGAGGTCACGTGTCTAAGGGTCAAAAATGTGCAACATGGCGGCGGCCAATTGAGGGTCACTTTCAGCTGCTAGTTTGTCAATCTAAGGTTCAGATCGAGTCGCGCAAGGGCTCGTGGCGACATCTCGCAGTACTATCTCACAGTAGTTATCAAGCAAAAATGTTATGTTTTGACTCACCGCTAAAGATCGGCGCTGTAATCGCATCCAGTTTTGTCTCGGTGGACGTGAGCGGTATCGTTTCAAGGGCGAGTTTCCCAACAGTGTGTTTTGGTAACGTTCGTCTAAGCTAGTACGCTGATTCTAGCAAGCGACCCTTTTTACTGACGCGCGTCTACAAGCGGCGACACCCGAACTCGTCCAGATGATGCGGCTGTCTCCCACGGCCAAGGTGGCCAACCCATCGGGCTACGTGGTGTCTATCCTGGGCGTGGACTGCTTCCAGCTGGCGGTGGCGACGTACATGTTCCCCGTACCACTGGCCGGTACCCTCCTCCTGCCTTTTCTCCTGTACATTCTGTCTCTCAGGGTGGGTGTCTTGCCGACACTCTGCTGCGCCGCCTACCTCCTCGCCATCGGTCTCGTGAGCCTGCCCACGTCAAGGTTGCAGAACTATCTCTGGGTGAGGACAATTAGGTGATACGTTGTCTTTCTGGGTAGGCTAAGACCGGCTAAAGCAATCACGCACACAAAAAAGCGCAGAGGATCGCGGCGTCTTCGCTGTACGTGATTGATTTAGTAAGTGATTATCAAACTTCCGAAGACAATGAGCGCCGTGACGATGCATTTTGGTGCTGCTTGATTGTCTCCATCGGGTCGTCGGTGGAACGTGAAGTTAAACGAAGTTTACACTCGACACAGGCCGGGGGGGGGGGGGGGGGGGGGGTGAGGGGGTTCATACAAAAGGCAGCCTGCAAACACGAGTCATCGCGATATACGTGGTTCGAATGCCGCGTGCCCAAGTTTCCTCCTTTAACTCATTGCCATGCGGCATTTGAAGCACGGATCCCGCCCTAACTCGCGTTCGAACCTGTACGCAGTCTGTCTTTTGCTTTATATATATGAAGTGTGACCCCGTCTCCCGGGGTCACACTGATTATACCATCATACAAAAGAGAGTCTGCATACAAATTCAAACTCGAGTCACCTCACACTGCTGATTCATCATACAAAAGGTACTGTTCACTGCCGACGTCATGGCAGGATTATCTCAAAACACGCCTCAAGAACGTCTGCTTCTTTCATGTATTTGTGACTGAGACATGTCTGCAGAAAGCTTTTGTATGACCAATATTATGACAGGACCGTCTTATAAGAAAGATCTCAGACAGCGTCTTTTGTATATAATGTATTAGCAGTGGTACCGGCGGCCTGAGGTTACTATGAGGCCAAGTTTGGAACTGCTGTCATGCGGAGTCTAACCAACGCTATAGAAGAAATGAGTCGTGACAACTTTTTTTCTGCGAAACGCTTTCCCTCCAGTTCCTCCAGTTTCGGGCTAGAGATGAGCGCCTGAAACGGTTCTCGGACCTGCTTTCCTCCGTGCGACTGATGAAGATGTACGCTTGGGAAGAGGCCTACGAGGGCAAAGTAAACCGCGCACGAGGCGTCGAGTTGATTCCCCTCTTTTGGATCAACGTGCTGGACGGACTCATCGACTCGGTCTGCAGCGCATCCAGCTCTGTGGTGCGTATCGCACCTTCTGATTTTTGACCCGTGCGCTCTAAAGCCGTCGTCGCACCTCGTACAAAAGACAGCCTGGAGACAGTCTGTCAGGCCTGCTTCTTCCTTGTACGAAGGTCCATTGGTCATGCAAATAAATGAGCAGTCCCGCGTGTATGCACAGTCACAGCGATAGACTGCCACACGTCATGGCGAAGCCGTTAAACATCGACGACGCGTCGCAACGTTACTAGATCAAAGTCAGTTGACAAGTTTCCTAGAACGCCTAACGCCTTTCCGTGGCCCCTTTTCGTGGCGCCGGCGCTGGGTTGCGCTCGCTACACTATCAATGATGGACAGAAGCTGCGGAATCGGTGGAACGTTGGATGCAGACTACCTGAAAGGAATTCTATCAGAATGGTAAACATAATGTTTGCGCCAAATACAGCGCCCAAAAAGAATGTCGTTCGAAAATGAACCTTCTTCGTTGTCCGTGGAAGCGTTGACGCCGGAGGCGCTGAATGCTATCCGCCTGTAGAGTAACTGCGTATATATGCTCCGCTTTCGGAGCAGAGTATCGCAATGCTGCTCCCAGGATGGCCACGTTAGATCCAAGGCCGCACTGCGGGAAGCGACGGTCGCTTCTTCAGGAGATCCGGAGACGCGGATGACGTGGTTGTGAGGGGGCATGCTGCTGCGCGCGGAGCAGAGAAGATATAGTGCGGCGACAAGCCGCGCTTGCGCCGTTATCTCGTCATTTGTCTCGTGTTTTTTCTCTATGCCTTCGGTAGAACACAGTAGCCGACAAAAACGTCGTCCCTTCGGTAAGCCGTAGCTACACGCGTTGATGTCTGGCCCTAAGTGCCCGGATGTGCCGTTCGCGTATTACTCCGCGAGCGCCGCAGACGCGAGCAACGCGATCGTCCTCCGTGTCGTCTGCTTCCCACGTTTTAAACACGTTTTAAAACAACGCGATTATACTGTAGTGAGTGGCTACACATAAGATTCAATGGTCAAGGAGCCTTCGAGTTCGTTCGGTTTTAGTGTAGGATGTATTTTTCGCAAACGCAAAGCGAGAGATTTGCTCCTCCCGAAACTCGGTGCCCGCAAGTTCGCTTTCGCGCATGAAGGTTGGATCCTGTTCGGCGCACGTGAACGCTTCTCCGCCAATACGGAGTTGGCGGCGCAAGGAAAGGGAACGCGATACTCTGGCTCCACGAGCAGACCCTACACACTTATTTTCTCCGCCCGCATCTGCATGCCCGCGTGCAGGCAACAGGGAAGAACCGATTTCAAACGCCGCTCTTTCGTGGAGCTTGTCAACTCGGATAGATCTAGTTATGTTACCCTAAAGTGCGTGAACAAAAGCGTTCGGAACGAAATGGACATATGTGCATTTTGTTCTAAACGCTTTCGTTTCTTTTCTTTTTTCTTTTTTTTTTCCCGCAGCGCGTGAAAGCGCGTCCCCTGCTACAACAGCATGTTATCGTCAGCCATTTTTGTTCTTTCATTTAGCACTTGCAGTGAGACCCTACGCCCTACTAAGCCAACTGCACCATCAACAACTACAGCATCATCAACAACTACAACATCAACAACGGACGTTATTTACATCTATCGCTGTAAGATGTACGCTTCGAATATATCTCTGCGGGCAGCTTTTTTACAGCTGATAGCTTACGGGCTCTTCCCATAGCTGAAAATGACGTCCGTTGTTAATGATGTAGTTTCTGATGTTCTATAGTTTGCAGGGCAACGCCACCTAGAATAATCGAAGCCTGGGCACTAGAATTTCGACGTCATCGCAGTGAGATCGAGCGAAGAGACGGATTGGACACGAGTGCTGTGTCAGTACTCGGCTGGTCCTCGTGACCAATCAACGCGTCGAAGGACGCTGGGTGTCGGTTCGGGTCCAATTGCCGAATCGGCGCCATCCAACTGTGATGACACTTCCTAGAGGAAGAGGGAGGCGTTGGGAAACTTTCATTATTCTAGATGGTGTTGACTAAGGGCGTTTGTCGTCGATGTTGCCAAATCTTTGAAAAAGAACGCCCTCCGTCTGCGGGCGTTCTTAGCACTGTCAATGTGCTACACTAATGTGGTATACACTAAGAAAAGAACGAGGTTTTTTTAGTATAATAAAACTCTGTTGTTGCCTTTGTTTGTTTTGCCGATGATACGGGTACCTTCTGTTCATTTCCCAAAAACTTGTGCTTTTGATGAACGACATAAGCCCTGTTTTTCTAACCGGTAGGCTTGTGTCTGTGTATTCATCTAACAGAACCGCTTTCTTATTTTGACCGATATTTGCCGGACATTTCCAGTTATATATTACCAGAACTTTTAAAGTATGCATACTTCTCTGTGGTATCCACACATTGTCTGAAATCCATCTATTAGAAAGAGTTAGCGATAGTCGTATTGCAAGTTGTCTTAGACGATAATGACGCCGTCACTGTCCTGAGTGTGCCAGCTTGGAAGGGTAGCAACTGGCTATTGGTAAACTAAGAGGGTTTTCAACCGGTGTCTCAAACGCCATTCCTTCCGTAGGAAATACACATTATTTCGTGCACATTGAACATTTTGCACGTAGCTGGAATGGGCGACTGCACACCGCTCACTTCATGTGCGTGTATTTTCGTCACTTCGCTTCCACTTTCAGCTGACAATTATCCTGTTTGCCACCATGGCCATCTTCGAACCGAATCGTTCCCTGACAGCGGCCACGTCCTTCTCGTGCATCTACATCATCTACACGACGGACATAATCACCTCTCAAGCAGCCTCAGTACTCCGGAGCAGGAGTCAGGTAGGGGCGCAGATCACCAATCACCGACGTGGAGTATTGACATCTATAATAATAATCATCATAATCAATCCATCAATAAATCAGCCAGTCTTTATTATACAGTGCCCAGGAACAACTTTGAAGTCTTGGTGTTGGTACACTGGTGGATAAAAAGATACATTATACACATTTCTTGTACTACCTAATACTATCCCTAGTGAAAAAAGTCATTTGTATGAGAAATTTCTTGTGTCCAATAAACACATATGAATCATACAAGATATATAAGAACGTATAAGAACATATAAGAACCATGTAAGAGCTATATAAGCACTATATAAGATTTATATAAGAATAAGAACCATATAAGAAACTTATAAGAAACTTCTCACAAGTTTCTTATATAGTGCGTGTAGGTTCTTATATATCTTATATAGCTCTTATAGTTCTTATAGTTCTTATATGGCTCTTATATGGTTCTTATATGTTCTTATACGTCCTTATATATCTTGTATGATTCATATGTGTTTATTGGACACAAGAAATTTCTCATACAAATGAGAATTTTCAATAGGGATAGGCAGTACAGAAGTAATTAGTAGAATAAAATAAAAACGAGGCAGTAACAGTAGACACGGAACACAAGACCGCAGGACAACGAGTGCACCACCAGAAGGCACGCCAGGGCAATGACAAAATTCAGACATAACAAAGCCATTCAGCAATGCTTATCGTGCACGGGCAAGTTTTTAATAGAAAGGACAAACGTCCTGCAGCATGGCTGGAAAATATCAAGTTTTTCACAGTAATGATTCAAACACTGTACCATTCTAACAATTGGGTTAACCGGACTAAACGTTCCAGAAACATAAAGATATGACAGAAGTCGAGTAGGCACACGTGGGACCCTAAAGCACAGTTCAGATAACAGGTTTGGAAAATGGATGAATCAATGCAGCATTTTAAACAAAAATAGCAACTTCGTGTTCTCTCGACTCTGGTGCAAGCTAAGCGAACCAACACGCTCTAACGCAGACTCATATGTTAAACAGTGAACATCCTCCTCTATGTTGCGATATGTTTAAAGTTAGAAACAAAATTTTTTTGCACCCGTTCGATCTCCAAGGAGTGAGTTTTAGAGATTCCATTCCAAACAACTGAGGCATATTCTAACTGCGACTTGGATAGCGAACAGTATAACGTGATAAAATCAGTCGGGTTTTCGAACTCCCTGGTTAAGCGAGAAGCAACACCCAAAATTCGCCATGATGAGCTAACCAGCCTACCAACGTGATCAGAGAAACGCAAGCCAGAATCAGTCATGACTCTGATATCCTTCATTACACTTACTTGAGACAGTCTCCCCTTGAATATTATATGCAAAAGAGATATTGCGAGTTTTTCGAGAGAGCGTCGTGACCTTGGTATTGGGCGGGTTCAAGAAAAGGTCGTTTTCAGAGCACCATCGGTAGAAAGAACATGCATCTTCCTGGAGGCACCTCTTTCCTGGTAGGAGAGAGGTGACTCTTTGTAACTCGCGCACTAGGTCCCACTAGCACCCGCGGCCTTCTTCACGAAGGTAGACTTGTCAGAGGCATTTTACCACGTCACACTGTACGCCCAAGCACAACGACTCACCACTTTTCGCCTTGACGGTACATACTACTGTTTTAACCGCCTTCCTTTTGGAGTGCGCCCAGCACCCTTCGTATTGCAGACACTTGTGACGGCTATTGCTCGCACACTTCGAGACCGTGGCCTATGGGCCTGGTCTTATATAGATAACTTCCTTCTGGCACATCCTGACCCCGTCTTTCTGCTTGATGAGACCCAGCGTCCCCTTCATGATATACAGGAGTGTGGCTTCGCGGTGAACCCAAAAGACACTCTTGTCACTCTGACCCGGACCATCCGTTTCCTGGGCTTCGAGCTTGACACCCACAACGCGACCATCTCCCACACTCCCAAAGAGTGCAGTCCCTAGCTGACACCCTTCAGCTACTTGCCTCACCCCGCCCTCTCGGCGTTTATCAGCGTCTTGCCGGACTATGGGCTTTTTATTTTTCTCTTTATCGAGCTGGCTACCACGTCCTTCGACCTCTTTTTCACACTTGTGTGTCCGGCAATCCACCCCCCTGTCTTGGTTAAACACTTTTGAGAACTTATGGCAACGACTTCCCCACACTGTGCCCCTTATGCCACGAGAGCCCCTGCGCGACTACTTCGCCGACGCCTCCAACCACGGACTCTTTGTGGTGACCCCATCTGTCGCTCTTGGCATCCTGACTCAACTAAGCCGCCTTAAGTTCGAGGGGGAGACGATCGCCTGGACCCTTGCTGCCCTGCTCGCCCCGCCTCGCACCATCATCCATACGGACAATTTTGGCCTACACTCTTAGAAAAAAGGGTACGGATAGTCCTCCCTTACGGGAGGAACGGTCTTGTAACCTATGTTCCTTTAGAAAGGGAGAAACCTTCGTCCCTGAAGCAGGGGAGCAAAGTTCCTCCGTCGCTTGCATCTCAATATGGCGGCCCCGAATCGAGCAAATCGAGCCCAATAAGGCTTAACGAGGACGCTACGTCTCTTGTACGGGACGAAAGCAGCAGCAAATGAAAGCGTAACACGAGCTTTTCGCAGACTGTGTTTATTTCCGAAGTCAGATTCCCCCCACAGGTACAGAAACCTGCGTTTCGAAAGCAGTTACTCAGTCTTCTCGTCAACAGCACTGCGATGTTAAACGGAGACAACCGATACCCAGTTACTTCGCGCACTTTGCGTCTTACCTTTGGTGTTCCTCGAATCACAGTTCCTTCGTCAACCGCACATCACGGAGAAGGGCAAACTCACTCCGCGAAACTAAAAGCCGCTCTCGAAAGAACGAACTCGAAGCCGCTGTTTATCGCGTAGCGTGAAAGAAGGTTAAATCGCTAGCCACCAGATGGCGGGGTCAAGCAGAGTAATTGCAAGTAGCTAGGCTAGGTGGCGCTAGGTACCGTCCAATTCATGTTCTACAAAAAATAATTTGCTTGTTTCAGGCCACTACTGCGCCTGAGGACCCTCTACTATACACACATGCAACCCATACACATTATTACAATCATCAGGTGAACATAGATTAAGCACATGCACTGCTCACACAAATATCAATACAACGGAACACCACACTAACCCGAACACTACACCCGTGCTCTGCGTTTCCGTCTTTTATACTGGTCGTTTTGAACGTGCGGAACTTTTCGGTGACTCCCTAAGCAATAAAAAATATTCCCAGCATGTTGAATTTTTCCCTGCAATGTCATACCTCTGAGAGTATTTTGAATGGCTCAGGGGTTGAATCTCTTATTAAAAAGTAAACGCTCAATCATGCCGTAATTATTTGAAAGCCAATAAATCAAGCCGCTCCAATGCGGTTCGAAGCCATGAGTTTGTTTCCCCACACGGCACGTCGTAGCTTGTATTTCTATTTGTTTTTCTATTTGTGCTGTTTGCGCAGAGCTGCAATTGCCGTTTGAATTAATCTCTGTAGAGCGGATATTCAGTAGCTGGAAGTGATGCTTCACGGACTGAGAAATTGCTTTTCGATCAACTTAAATGTAGTCAAAGCCGCGACTTGCGGCAGGTTTAAGTGTACGGAACTACGCCGTGGCGAGCCCGAAAACTTCTAGCGCTCATCCCAGCGCACCACGGAGGGCAGTTTCTCCAGCAACCGTATAATTAAACAGCAAAATAAAGGGTAGCTTTTTTTTCGATTTTACCTACTATTGTTTTTAATGCCGAAATTCCATACTGTAAATATACGTACTTTACGTCACGATTTCGTACTGTTCAGTCCTTGCCCTTGAGCACAATCGCTGTCGGGGACGAGACAATTCCGACAGTCACATTGGCCACTGTACGATAGGAGCTTCTACTGTTCAGACCATGACTATCCGCACGTTGATCGATTGCACGTAATCCCTCAAGTGGTATTAAACTTTTTAATGTAAAGCGGAATGTCAACCTGCGACACCCCGCCCACTCCGATCACAACCCGACCAGCGGCATCAATGCCCAACAGTTTACGATCTTATCTTCTTGTTACACCACTGATACGCGAACACATGGTCACATCGGCGATAATTCCAGTCTTCTGTTCACAACCCGACACTGTCATCACGATGTTGCAGCTATGTTGCTGACACGCACAAACACAAAACCACGTTGAACGCCGGTTGCACTCGGCATCGGAAAACAGAACCAAACTCAGGGGGGAAGGCACCCAGGCAGCCGGCAGCAAAACCTGCCTGTCTTGGACGCAGTTCCTGCGGTTTCCATAACGTCGAAAACGTCGACACAGTTCCGCGTGCTTTCGCTACTGTAGTCTGTAGTGCTGCAGCCTGCAGTGGCTGTAGTTCCGTGCCGCGCGAGTCACGCAATCCGGAGTGCAACTTCCTATACCGCCCATGGAACGCAAATTGGAAAACCCTGGGAGGCTGCAGCGCCATTTGAATCCCCTGGTATCTGGTGGCTGTACTAAAATCAACATGGCGGCACAGCGAAACCAAAACCAAAACTGCACGGCAGCGCCATTGTGTATGGATGGATGGGCGGTAGCTTGCGCCACCTAGAGTTAAAAATATATATATTGTAGCTTTTTTTTTTTTTTTTTGCCCCGTTTGCGCGTTGCTTTGCGGGGCTTCTGCTGCTTTGCGGCTGGTTTTCGCATTTCAATGCTGGTTAATGTGCGTTGAAACGCACACAAGCCAGCACTGAAAAGCGAGACCAGCAGCAAAGCAGCAGAAACCTAGCAAAGCAACGAAAGTGACACATACACAAAAAATATGCAATGCTTGTCCTTTTGCGTTCATTTTTATTCAACAGACAGTAGAAAATACAGACGAAATTTCTCACTGTTTTGCATACGAGAAACAAAGAAATGAACAACAAAACAGGATAAAACGTTAAGGTTACGTGCGACGAAGGTGATGAAATGCGTCCTTGCAAATTTGATTATATAAGTAAGCATATAAGTAAAGACCGA